GTGTGTGTGTCTGTTGATTAAGTGGTGTGTAGCTAAAAACATTCTCACAGACTTCTAGAACATGTCGTGACTTAAACATAAGAACATATTATGGCTAAGGCTACAGTTATACACGTCGTAATAATAATATTAAACACTCTGTCTGCTGACAGTCATCAACTTTTTTCTCTAGTTATCCTTGACCAGATGTACCCTGTAGAAACTCATAAGCATGCCTAGGCATTTAACAGTCTAACTAGACATCCTATCCTACACTAAACAATTCTAATACATAAAGTATCTATCCAATTTCTATCTGACTAAAAATACCTAACAAGACCAAAATATAACTTTTTGGTATAAACTCCACTCGCCTTGTTTGGAAGAAAAAGAAGGATGAGTACAATCCCAAGAACACCATCCCAACCGTGAAGCATGGGGGTGGAAACATTATGCTTTGGGGGTGCTTTTCTGCAAAGGGGACAGGATGACTGCACCGTATTGAGGAGAGGATGGATGGGGCCATGCATCGCAAGATTTTGGGCAACAACCTCCTTCCCTCAGTAAGAGCATTGAAGATGGGTCGTGGCTGGGTCTTCCAGCATGACAATGACCCCAAACACACAGCCAGGGCAACTAAGGAGTGAAAAAAGCATTTCAGGGTCGGGGAGTGGCTTAGCCAGTCTCCAGACCTGAACCAAATAGAAAATCTATGGAGGAAGCTGAAACTCCATGCTGCCCAGTAACAGTCCCAAAACCTGAAAGATCTGGAGAAGACCTGTATGAAGGAGTGGGCCAAAATCCCTGCTGCAGTGTGTGCAAACCTGGTCAAGAACTACAGGAAACGTCTGACCTCTGTAATTGTAAACAAAGGTTACTGACTCTGAGAGATGAGGCAGTCCAAGTAACTACAAAACAGTGCTGATTTATTTCATGAACACAGGTAAAAATTAACATTACACGCTCAGGCATCTTGCACCTCCAAACTGCTCGCAGGCAGATGTAAGATGAAAAGACCCTGAGCCCACCAGGCCTATACATTATATCCCTTCGGTTGGGCTAGCCCCATACTACACAGAAACGTCAACCGAGACGTCTCTGTTGCCAGCTTTGCAGCTGGCCATGACAGTGGTCAAAACATGTAGCATATCAATGTGTGTGTGTGTGTGTGTGTCTGCTGATTAAGTGGTGTGTAGCTAAAAACATTCTCACAGACTTCTAGTAACATGTCGTGACTTAAACATAAGAACATATTATGGCTAAGGCTACAGTTATACACGTCATAATAATAATATTAAACACCCTGTCTGCTGACAGTCATCAACTTTTTTTCTCTAGTTATCCTAGGTAAGCAGTGTTTCCTCAACAAATTAATCAGGGTGTATTCATATATGTGTGCATAAGTACATGTACCAGCCAGGAGATGTAGTAAACTGCAATTTTTCTCATAGTTTTTTTCTCATATGGTATCACAGGATACAAGTGCTCCCTGTCAATCATGTTGCCAAGGCAACTGTGCCAAAGTTGAATAATGAGACACATTCTCTAGACGTTTTCTGTTGGCTAACATCATCACAATTGCATGCAGGTAATGTGTCATAATACAGGTACAGATAAACTCTGACACACACACACACACTCATGTTGATAAAGATCATAATTGCAGGTGTAGTTTGCAACTGAATATAGAAATATTCTTACTTGCAACAGGTTATACTGTGGGGCCATAAAATGTGTCACAAATAAGGAACATTTACTAATGTACTGAACGGAAGCTGTTTTAGTGGTACAAGGGGGACCTACACACCTTTGGGCAGATAATTATGAGGTATTTTCTATAGGGGAAAACACACAAGTGCAATTAAACATGCACGAATTAGGTAGGCTACTGACCACAGTAGCGCACAATCGAATATCCTAAGCAGCATTCATAAAATACTGTGTGCATAATTTGCAAGACCTTTCCACACACTGGTAAAAGAAAGAGATCAGCACGTGTAACATGTAGCTGCACTTTGGGGCTGCACGGTCGGGTGTATGAATCGGCCCAATCTAAAACGCGACCGCTGAATAAGGAGAACCGCATCGTCCGTGAAAAAAAATGCCCTGGAGTTTTGGAATTTAAGATAGGTACCGCTAATGCTAACTAACACAACTTTTACGTTTGCATTAGTTGTTTCTGAAATAAAGTCTAAATACAAGATCCATAGGTAATTTGACAACACTTACTGTTTTTAGAAAACACTTCTATATTTGCAAAGCTGTCTATCCATTTGGACCAACAATATTACGATAAAGATTTTTTTCCAAAAGTCTTTCAAAACGAGATAAGTCCAGCTGACTCTTCGGTAATATTAGCCGACACCGGAAATGCTCTTTTGTTCTTAGAATGTTAGAAACATAAAAAGAAATAAATAAATAAATAAAACAGTTACATCAATATATGTAGAAAATCAGAAATAACGTTAAATAAGAGTACTATTTGATACGTTGACCTGAAAATAAAACATAAAAATTTTATTAATGCGTCATACAAAGCTAGCATAGAGAGATGTCACTTCCGGCGACCATCTTTGACTGAGACAACCCAAACAGTAGCAGCTTGGAAAGAACTTAAAGTTCTTGTTGCGCAGGGGACAGAGTATGATGTTATCAACAAAAGAGACTTAAAAAGAAGGAGAATCTATAAACGTCTTCAAGATAGTGGTAAGTGTTGTATTTATAATAGTTAATCGGGTCAAGTGTGCTGCATAAACATCAATGCAGCAGTTAAAAGCTAACGTTGCTTAACTACCCTAAAATGTAGCCTAGCAAGAGGTAGCCTAATGAGTTTAGTGTATAATTTTACCAACTTGTATTTTAATGCTATACTTGCGTTAAATTTATTAAAATGAAAAATTGTCAAGTCTGCTAATCAGCAGCTTTTGGTCATCCCAAAATCAAGGTCGAAAAATAGGGGTGATTGTGCTTTTAGTGTAGCTGCCCCAGTCATTATACTGATAATGGTATCAGCTAAAAGAATGTAACAGTTTCAGCAAGTAAGTTAGTGGGCTGCATTTGGCGAAATAATGTGTGCTTGGGCTTCTTTCAGAGGTAGACCACTCGACTTAACATTAAACACCATATAAGTCAGAAGTGAGAATTTACAAAACTGGAGGAGCACAGCAATATTAGGGCTAAAACATTAGTTGTGAGGGACCTTGCATTCACTCACAGTGGCTATGTCCTTTGTGGTTGATGATATCATAACTTGAAATTCATGATAGTAATAAAACACTGTGACATAAATTCAATTACAGTAAATGATGTATCTCCCCTAGAGCTTGCCTGTGTATTTCTGGATTTAAGCAATGTTACTGTAACCATGGAGACTGTGCAGAATGCATCCTAGAAATGAAACAGGCAACTGCCTGTTTTGGTAAAAAAATCATCCTTTATCATATTTTTCTTGAACTGAAAGAGGTGGTAACCGACAAGTCAGTGGTGTATGTAGGTCAACTGCCACTTCATCTGAGCTGCATGGACACATTACATTATTATTTAAAATCGTTCCAATCATGAATTCCATTGCTGGTTTATGATAAGTGTCTTTGTGAAGGTTACTGGAGTGCCTCTGGGGATACAAGCTGCTGTAACATCAGTTATGACTTTAGTCATCTGGGGCTTTGAAATTTTGGAACTCGTGCTAATACTAAAAACGTAATGCAGACAGTCTAGAAGCTAGTTAAAGTTTATTACACAATGATTCAGTCCAACATGTGAAAGCAAGGCCTGAAATACAGAGAAGTGAAGGGGACACAGAAGTGTGGCTTTTGTCATCTGAAATGGCTGAGTAATTATGTTTTGCCGTCATGAAACTCCACTTGATTTGTTCAGGTTGAATGGACAAGCTCACTGCACCATGAGGACTGACAAAACTGAAAATAATCACAATTTGTTTGATATATTAATATTCATTCATTCATTTTCTATGTGCCAATCCCAGCCAGCAATCAGGCGAAGGCAGGGTACACCCTGGACAGGTCGCCAGTCCATCGCAGATATATTAATATTCTGTTTGAGTAATTATGCTGAGTATGTTTTGTAACAGCTGTGCAGGTGGTGTTCAATCAAAATTTTAGGGACCAAACTGTGCACCATCAGCATGTGATGGTATTTGTGTGCAGTCAATGTACATAATAGTTTGGTGTTTTCTCCATTTCGTTAGTTAAACTGGACAGGTGGCCTACTGCATGTGTAAGAGTGGAAGTAGAATGGGTTCAAGTAGAGGTTAGTAATATGTGGGAAAAACTGTGTGGGAGAGAAGGGACTGTCAGGCTTGAGAGTTATGAGTGAGAAATAAGGTTTCAGGTTTGGTTGTTCTTTGGCCGGGAATTCAGCCTGGCAAAATTTCTCATCTCTATCTCCCTTGTTGAGGTGTAAAGACCCTCAAATGCTGTTGAGTTTCTGCCCATGAAGACAGTCCTGTCTCCCTATTTCACAGTGGACACAAAAATATTTAATGCAACTTAAAGTAAGTATTTCATATTTTAGTTTTTACAATATTTTAAACATTTTTTTCTACGAATACTGTAAAACATATCCAGCTTATTTTGCCCAGCTGTGGTGGGACAGACATGTTCAGCCCTGCTAAAGTCAGAGGGTGTACATAAATGGACTTTGCAGAATTTGTCATTTGTATGCATAAGCATTACTAGAAAAGGGCTGTGCAGATAAAGTAAATGAGCATCACTCAAGTAAACGTAATCAGCTTTTGTCAGTGACTTTCATCAAGGCATTAAGTATGATAGTTTTTGTGTGTAATTTCCCTGTGCCCAGAGTCTCTTGAGAATTTGTGAACAAACTGAACTAAATATAGAACTAAGAATGTATCCTCGATCGATTTGCATGGTTAAATACAGAAGGTGTTGTTGCTATTGGAGAAAGACTGAGTCATTCATGGGGTGTTTGCCATAGACTGTTCTTGAGACATGCCTCATGGAGGAGCTCAGTATTTCCTCAGTGCATCAGTCATTCAGACATCCTTGGGAAAATCAACCCACCAACCTTTTGGCCTGCCAAGCCATCAGTTGTGGTATATTTTATCTATCAAAGTTATAAGTGTAAGTATCTTATAAGACATAAGGAGTTTTCTAAATACAATAAATCACCATGCTCAAGTAGCCAGCTTGCCAGTTATGTGGTCAGTCAGTCAGTGTTTAAGGACAGTGATCCTTCAACCTGTTCACTAATTGTTTTTAATTTAAAGATAGTTGTGGTGTACTTGTACAATGGTTTCTAAGACCTATATAGCTACTAGTCAGAAAATCTAAATTTAGCTGTTCAGTATGATTGTGTTACGTGTGTGTGTGTGTGTGTTACAAATCACAAATGGACTGTGGTGCGAAAGAGTAGCTGGCTGAAAAGAGCTGAAGGAAAATGGAAGAACATCTTGGGACAAATTCCTTAATCAGATAATATCAAAATTAGAATTTTCATATAGAGATTGGTGTAATTTGGGAAAAAAATATCTATTTGCCACTGAAAAAATACATATATAGACATATATTAAAGGGGTTGGCAGTTCAGTTGTCTCTGTGAGCTTCACAGAGGCTGCTTATTTTAACATAGAATTTACCGGAAGTATGTCTGAAGGATTTGGGGGAGCTGTGTCTACGTGGGTGAGCAGAGACTTTTTGTGAGGCAAAGAGAAAAACATATACTTTATTATTCACCATCAGGAGTTGTTGTGATGCAAGTCAGCGATGAGTAAGAAAGAGCAAGGCATGCTTGCCTGTGTTTATTATAGAGGTGTGTGTTTTGGCGTGTATATATTATCTGCTGCTGCATCTGGCAAAGAGCAGTCAGCTCCATTATGGTGGGAAGGCCTTTGATGTGTCACCTCTTGTTGTGATGCAAGTCAGCGATGAGTAAGAAAGAGCAAGGCATGCTTGCCTGTGTTTATTATAGAGGTGTGTGTTTTGGCGTGTATATATTATCTGCTGCTGCATCTGGCAAAGAGCAGTCAGCTCCATTATGGTGGGAAGCCCTTTTATGTGTCTCCTCCAGTATTGTGTGTGTGTGTGTGTGTGTGTGTGTGTGTGTGTGCGCGCGTGCACCCTACATTCACACGCTCCCAAGTTGGCCTTCAGGAAACATCTTAATACAATTTAGTCCTTCATTGTGTATTTAAATTTTATTTAATACTTTTCACAGCTTTTTTTTAACTACTTTAATACAACTTTGCTGAATTTTAATAACCAAGGGTATTTGTTGCAAAAGATATTAATATAACTTTAACTGATCTTACTGATATACATGATCCATGCAGAAAACACTTTAAAAAGTGGCATTAAGTGTAAAATATGTAAGTGAGCTGTTGCTCAACAACATGAAAAGCACTATAAAAAGTAGGAATGTAATGGAAACTACCTCAAAGGTATGAAATGGGTGCCAGCAGTTCCTGTAGTTTAAGGTGAAGAAACATTTATGCCACAGAAATGCTACCATTGTCATGCATATAGTGTAGAACACACTAGTGCATCGTTACCCAGAAAATGTGATGATATGATAATCAGGGGGAATAATGTGTTCTCTGTTTCCAGACTTTTTAAAAACATTTTTTATTTATTTTAACTGATTTCAAGTTGACATTTTGTTTTTGTTTTTTGGACAAAGCAAGTACATTGAAGATGTCACCTTGGCCTCATAGAGTTTTTTTCATGGTGATTTTTGCACTAATGGCTTTTTTATTATTAAACTATTAATCACTTGAATAAAAAAAAAGAAAATAATCATTAGTTGCAACCCTGATTGGGCAGAACTTAGAGGTGTCAATCAGTAGTGGCAATGCCATTAGCTTTCCACTCCATTAGTGATCATCTTTCATTCCCCCTCTGACTCGGGAGGTGTGGTGAATCTGTGGGTTGTTTTTAGTCCTGCTGTACTTGAGTTCACAGCCTACAGTGACATAAGAGACTTGTAAACAGTTTGAGAACAGTTTATGATCCCATCACTATGATCGCTATTCGTGACCCTTACTATTATTGCAGCATTTACTTTGTACATCATGACTTTCAGTCTGCCTTATGACTTGTTATAGTATGTCAGAAGCAGGTTCATTACTCTTCCTACTGTCACTTAGAGAACACTTAAAAAAATCTACACCTATTTTAAGAAGCCTCATGAATTATGGGTCCAATATTAAATGCGTCATTGGAAGCCTATCCAGGCTCCTACCAGCACATCATAGCACACACACACACACACACATATAACCTATATTAGCAACATTCTTGTGGGTGTCCACTGTCCAGCCAAACTAGAGTGAGCCAGTGAGCAAGCGTAGGCAAGTTCCTTCTTTTTTTTCCAGCTCTTATTCAGCAGTGGGCTATGGGGTTTTTCCTGTGTGAATTGTATTTTAGACCACATTGTGTGATTTCTTTTTCCCACCTTAGCTTTAGGCAGAGGAGTCATTTAGCTCAGTGTCATCTTTGTATGGGGTTATTTACCAGTTAAACTGATCCAGACCTCCTAAATCAGATTAATATCTAGTCAAAGAAATTTCAGTTTGATTTGTGCAAGGAAACTTTTAGGCTGTATGGGATTCATGCCCGTGCTATTTCTGTTGTCTTTAAAATACTCATTTGAAACTCCCAGCAGTGAGTTCATCTGGCTCCATTCTGTCATCTCAGACTGGCTGTCCAAGCAAAGCCTCATACTCCTGGGAGTGACCTAATTTAAACTGCTTCACTGTTTATAGATATAAGATGATTATATAGCAAGTTTGGACTCTGTTTATTTGGGCTTGGGCCCTGTGTTGAAATGGTAATTGGTGTGAGTAAGAGGGACATATTGGACTGTTGTTGACATCCTGGAGACCATTAGGGAGACCACAGACCAGACCAGTATCAAAGGGATGAGTTCATCTTTTCCATCCCCTATTCTGTGGCCTAAGGGGATGACTGGGGTTTCAGAGGGGGCTTGTCACAGGGGTTGACTCTGGACTAGTTTTGGGGTATGAGAGTACTCCAGGTTGCTAATGTTTGTTATTAAACATGTGCTACTTGGCAGGGAGGCAGCACTATATAACTTCAAGTTCAAGTTGGTTTTCATTTTGTACTGATATGGAAACTTTTAACTGCATCTTTAACTAGTGGCTAGTCGGTCTGAATATCTTCTGAGATGACCAACTACAGTATATCACCTACAGCACTTGCTAGCAAGCTAAATAGCTAAGCACTGACTGGCTGATTCCCTCACCTCTTGCCTAAAATAAAACATGCAGCACTATTTGTCCCAGAGCACAGTGTCATACAGTTCCATTCAAAGCTATGAATCAAAAAATACCCTCAGTGTCAACAGACTAAACGGCTCAAATCCACCTTTGAGCTGGCATCATCAAGTAATTAGGAAGTAGGTGCCAATTACACAGACAGCCTTGTTGTTTGGTGTGTGTGTGTGTGTGTGTGTGTGTGTGTGTGTGTGTGCGCGCGCGCGCCCCACTGGGAAGGGCAGCAAGTGGGGAAATGACAGCGAACAGTGTGTCTGCCTGGCAGTACCAACAGGCAGAGTATCACAAGTGGCTGGATGGCACGTAGGCACTTGACATGGCACCCTGTCACCGCCATGCCTTATCACCCTGCATGCCTTCCCATGTTGCTGAATGGAATGTTGTTTTGGTCTGACTGCACTCACTGTTGCATAATCGGTGGGTGTTTGTACATTTAATGACTGCTGCCTAATCATCATCCCTCATCAGGGCACTTCAGGGGTGGGGAGAGATGGAGCAGTGTGAGGTATGCGGGGACGTTGCTTTAACAGTGTGCAGGAAATGGCACTAGGCCTTGGGACATGAGACGTGACAGTTGCAACATGAGCTTGGGGAAGTCCAAGTATAGAGATGACGTTTACTGGGAAGGGGTCATATCGGTGAAACTCCAGCTCTGTGTTGTTATCTATTTTGATAAACATATGCCTCTGCAATCCAGTTGGAACCATTGACTGTATAAAAGATGGGCAGGCTGACAGCTCCCAGAAGTGAAGTCACTGTGAGTTGAGTGGTCCCTGCAGACTGGTTGCACTACAGGCCATAAATCTTGCTCTTTCCATATAAAATTTTCCCAGAGATGATTTCTGTGGTTTTTGGCAGATATTATCACACTACTGTGTGTACTGTGTGTAAGTGTTGACATGTCATCCGTATTTATACACAGCCATTGGTTAGAACATAATGTTTTTCATCATAAATTCAGTATAATAATTTGTTCAAGTAAGACAAGTATTAAACTATGTACAGTGAAAGGTAAAACCATAAAAGAAAAGTATAAATGAATACATTGCATATCTGTTAGCTTACTGTGAGTGTCTTGATTTGATAGTAGGAGAAAAGTTGCCCATGCCTCACCCTGTTTCCTGGCTTGGTTTCACATCAGTGTATGGTCACGTGCCACTGA